TCTTGCAATTTTGTGTAATATTAGTTTAAGTTCTAATTTGTATCCTGACGTAGTTTTGAGAGAAATGATCAGCGAATTTTAGAATAATGGAAGATCTAGTAAGATTGACTAGAACACTGCGATGAAAAGTGCGCATCAAATGTTTACCCCGTCTTCTGCACTATAAGTTTTCACAAAATCGCATAAGTCGATTACCTTCAAAATGTTCCTTTTAAAACTAGATACAGAGTAAAACTAAATGAGCAATAACTTTTGTGAATATATAGCTCAGTGAAATATTACTTTCGGTCGTATGTAATCCATTGTTTAGTTTTGAAGTAGATTATGCACTATATCTAAATAATCTCAAATATCTCATAATTAGCTAGATAGATTTTTTCAAAAATCCCTACTACAAATGGAAGCATCTAGTATATAATTATGTGGTACGAAGCATTTTAGTGTTGAACGCTTTGCAAGGCTAAAATTATTTTCTAAACGAAATCAAATATTTCATCATAATCACGTGTTATGACGTCCGATCTCATAAAAAACTGCATCAAACATTAATTCAATCTTTATGTGACTTATGTGCAAAAAAGATTTGCAATCGGATAAAAGACGTTTATGCACTAGCGTTCCAAAAGTGGAAGGTGGCGGTCAAGCGTGAGGGGGTCCAGCCACCTTAAGCGCTCAAAAATAGCATAGCCTCATGTGACTCTTATGCTTCCTTCGTGCATAGCAACCAAGCACCCAAAACTCAATGGAAGCACGCTAATCAATGACCAATGCTTTCATAACATAGCAAAAGCATGAAAAAATCTTTGTTAATTGAGAAAAATTAAAAAAATTTCTTAACAAAATATCTATTACATAACACGAGCTACTCAATCACGTCAGTGTGCACCATCGATTTTTGGATGCACAATCGCACGCGCTAAATAACCAATCAGAGCACGCGTTATATAGTGGCTATATTATAAGAATACATTGGTCATTAAATAATTACAGCAATTGAGCTTTTACTGACCATAAAAGAATGGCTCCAAGTTGAGGTTGGACTTGATAAAATATAGGATTTATAAATAATTTATATATATGAACACATCAACTCCAACCTCAGATTGTAGCCATTGTTTCATGTTTCGCCAAAGCATTGTGTGACGAGCCTACAGTGTAGGACGCTAGGGAATAAAGTTACATACTGCACTGACCTTACGGCATCTACCATCTGATCAGCTGGCCATCGAGGAGAATATGGATAGTCTTTATAGGATGTTGAATATGGAACACCGTTGCTCTCATGGTAAATAGACTTGAAAACAAACACTGGTTTATCCAGTGGGAATCCAATTGACAAAGTTACTGAAAATTTAAAGAAAATAGTTCTGACATCAGCCTGTTAGTGTTTGGAACCCCCGACGAAACACTCACAATCTTCTTTGATCTACAATTTTACTTGAAAAATGCTGAATCATATATCATCGCTCACAGCCTGATGCATATTGTTTAATATAAAGTATTTTAAAGTTGGTGCTTTACACATGTCTGTGACCTCAATAACTTAGAAATGCCTGGATTTTAATTCCATCATTCAAAGTTGCTAACTCATACCATGAACAAAGTTGATAGCTAAAACAGAACCATGAGAAAATGTGTGACATTTTGAGCCACCTAGGTCACAGAAACATGTCACGTGTGTGAAATTGCCTCTCATGATTTCTATAATGTCAAAATATTTTCTGCAACTGGTTACTAACCTAGTATGCAACTTATTATCATTAAAGCACATGCTTGTTTACTTACTGTGTACAATGCAAAAGAAACCTTGTACTTTCAGTAAAAGTGATAAATTGTGGTATGTTTCTGCATCATACTCTAGTATAGATCTGCAAGAAAATAATACGAAAATTATTATTGATCTTTTCACCACACCAACCCTATCTTGAAAGTCTATGAACTACTGACAGTGATCAATTGACCCAAAAGTCTGTTGATTTGGTATTGTTTTTGTTTGACTTTTTTTGTTGAGGGCCTATTCTGGCATGACAGCACGGAAAAACCAATTCAAAATTAAAGCAGATGTTCAAGGTACATTCAAAAATAGCAATAATAAGCATCGGCAAGAATGATTGAGGAAGACAATAATGACATGAGCATGTTTCCAAAATGGTTTTTCATGCAAGTGCACTGTTGTCTTCTCTCTAAAACATAAAGCACCAACTAACATTCTTGAGAAAAATGCAAAAGGATGACACACATGAAAAGCTGTTTTGAAAGCACACCGTCATTGTTTTGGCATTGTCAAGTTCAAGTTCAAATTCAAATTTATTCACACACAAATAAACAACAGGTATAAATTATTTATAGAATTGTAGGATAAAGATATAAAGTATATGAAGTTACAGGAGAATATTATTACATGTAGTAGGAAAATAACATGAGGTGTGTATGACTGTTGAAGAAGTTTAAACTTTCGATTCAACAGCCACCTTGTCATCCTTGACAGTTTGCTAATAACTCACCCTCCAAAAACACTAAGGAATGCAGATACACATTCTTTTCTCTTGTTATATCCAGAACCAACTTGATAAACCTAAAACACAGGTAGTGATACAGTACATACCATCATGGCTTCACATGCAAATTGCAGAACTCTTTACAAAGATGCTATTGCTATTGAATTTGAACTTACTTTTTGTTTTAATAATTGATTGATTACTGGTAGATAATCCATTAGGCAAGAACCATTCTGTCCGCCCCATTGAGGAATATGTAAGGACGAGGAACCACCAAGAGCTCTGTGGGGGGGAAATAATGATCGATGATGTCGTCATATGTTTAATATTTTGAGGCTCAAAATAGCAGCTGTCCAATGACTGGACATGATGACCAGCCATACATCAGACTGGCCAACATGTGACCAGACAATGAACAGTACAGCCTCATTAGCTAAAGCAATGCAAATGCAAACACCTGAAACGCAAACAAATTAAGATATGCAAGCGAAGTTTTTTTTTATTTAAACATATTTCAACATATATTAACCCCAGGAGCAAGAACTCATTGAGGGGGTCTCTATATCTTTTTACGGTAATAAATAATATCGTGAAGTACTAGGACAAAAGAAATAAGGACAAAAGAAATAAGGAAAAAAAATTTTTTTTTCTTAATAGATAAGCTAGACCAGTTATTAATAAGTTGTGCAGCAGAGGTAAGTAAGATATTGCGTTGAGCAGAGTACTGGGGACAAGAAAGAAAGAAAATGTTGAACTGACTTTTTTACACCCTGTTGACAAGTGCAATCCTGGCTTACAAGCAAAGTTAGGAACTAGCTTGTTCAATCATCAAAAACTTTGCATCACTGTTGTTCACATGTCATGTAGTTTTGCTTGGGTTTGCATAACCATAGTTCACAGGTAGTTTTGCTTGCATTTGCATTTTACCCGGTTCACATGTTAAAAATGCGAACACAAGCACAAGAATATGAAAAAGTTTCCATTTGTTGTGTTTGCATTCCTGTAGTTCACACGTAATTTTGCTTGCGCTTGCATTTGCACTGCTAGTGCGAACCAGCCTTACCTTTAAAGAGGTGGAGAGGCATTTGGCATGACTAGTGCCCATTTTGGCTTGGCATTGTGGGTTGGTTGTCAGTATTTTTAGCCCTGCCTAAAAGATCAATGTAGTGCGACATACCTTTCTAGTCTAGGAGATAAGAACAGCTTAGGAGTTACATGGCAGCTTTCTTCTGGGGAGTTGTACGTCACAAGAAGACATGCTATATCTTCCCCTGGATTGTCCTATGTTTGGGCCAGAAAAATGATAGTTAATTAACTCTTATTTTCTATTAAATCACTGATTTATTTGCATGGGTTACCTGTGGTTGAATAAAGAATTGTATCCACAGGAATCCCATGCACACCAAAATACACTATATAGCATCAAACATGGAATTATAATACAAATTATAAATAGTGTATAAATAATGTACCTTTATTAGATAAGGTGGAATTGATTCTATATTCACTGGTATTTTAATAAGAATATTTACGTTGGTAGAGGTGTCATATGTCTGTTGAAAATAAGCAAAAAAAACAAATGGTCAGTGTTCAACTGGTCAAATGTTAGTGGCATTTCCACAGACTTGCTCTAATCTTAAATCCCCTGAACTCCAATTGGAATCTAGGATATTTTTGCAAAGGGAGGAAAACTGGAGAAAAACCCTCAAAGCATGTGCAGGACAACATTAATAGCCCACCTCTGAATTATGCTTTGATTGTCACGCACAAAGGTTTCAGTATAAGGCTATGTGTTAAATGCTCAGTCATTCGTGACAGGCAGTAAGAATAAATTTAATTTAGCACGTAGCCTCATACTGAAGCCTTCGTGCGTGACAATCAAAGCATATCTCGAAGGTGGGCTATTGAAGCGACTTTACTCATATGTGACACAGTCCAGGGCTGAACCTGGGTCACATTTGTCCCAAAAGTGTCACCATCCTTGATGCTTATCAATGCTTAAGGTCCTTAATATTTTGGCTAGTACATACATACCTGGTGAGATCCTTTAGATAGGTGTATCTCATACTCATTATAGTCTTCATTACCAACAAGAAAGTCACAGTCAAACTGCATACGTGGTATCTGTTTGACCAGGTCTGTCTGGTAGTCCTTGTATTGTTGGATCAGTTCTTTGATGACTGATACAAGACTTCCTTGATCATTGCTATCCCAGTGGATTAGAGACTATAACAATCGATATCATTATTAGTGATTACTATTACAACCTTCAAATTTTATTAATATTCTAAAAGATTGCAGGCAATAGGCAAAACATTATGGTCAATCAAATTCTTAGAATATGTAAAGTTCTAAGATATATGGAAACAATGAGAAGGTATGTACTATGTACATGGGAATCGGATGGAATGATTTATTTGTTTGTCTATTGCCTATTAACCTGTCATGGTCTTTGTTTTAACCAGCACTTTTAGCAATGAAAACAGAGTTGATTGATCTGTAGAGATTGGGATTTTCATACAGAAATATAGCTGACACTTTGATGGCATCATGATCAGTTTTCGATGACGACTATTGTCATTAATTGTCGGTTAATTTGTTGAGTTGAAGTGTGTGTGAAGTTAAGTGTGTTTTATACAGCAATAAAGAAAGCTTTATATCAAACAACAAGTAATCTTCTACAGATCTATCAACCACCCCTGATTGAATAGCACAGTAGCTCCTGCATCTAGCTATAGTGGGCTATCCTCCAATGTACGAATTCTCATTAAAAGATCATTACATTTACAGATATGTTGCATGTACCTGGATCTCTTGTATATTTGGCACAAAATCTAAATCATGGTTTCCAAATATAAAATCTGGTGGCAAGTCAGGCTCACTGAATATGACTTCCCCTGTTAAACAAAACAACACAACAACAACACAGTTAATGGACTGGCTGTCTCATTTACAGAGAAGTGACAGCTAGATGATACTGTACATGTATGTACATGTACCATCAATAAAAAATTATACCAAGCTCATTTAAGAAGTAACATTGAATCAAGATTTTACTAACATTTTAAAGTGTGTCCAGCAAATGGTATAAGAATTTTAAACCGATCAAGATTTCTTGCTGTAGATGGTGGATAGCTGCTCCTGCAAATATAAGAACACAAACAAGACCACAAGATTTATTAACCCACAAGCTTACGATTTTCTTCAACATCTTACAAAGAACAAGTTCCACAACAAAGAAGCTTTCTTCTATTTTCTATTCTTCTCTTAAAGGCTAAAACTAGTAATTTTGTAAGCGGATACATAACTTGAAGTGAAAACTCTTAATGAAAACAGTCTCGACCTACCCAGTTTTTTGTTCTCTGATGTGGAGTTTTTCACCGTGAAGAGAAATATCTTCTGCAGTGAAAAGAAGCTTGACTAAATTAGCAATCTTAGGATTGAATCTGTCTAGTATATCACCAGCCATCGTGATGAAAGAGTGATCTAAACTTCAAGTAAATAGAGAAGTTCCATTTTAAACTTCCGCCATTTTTATCTGACCGTGAATGAGCGGGGAAGCCTGGGTCGGGTGACACAGGAGTCCCATAACTATCTTTTTCAATCCATCTGCGCAAATGGCAAATTCCGTTTCAATCTCGTACCCAGAGCCCACGTTCCTCTTTTGTTGGGCTTACGCTTTCAGTTGTTATTAGTGAACAAGAGCTTGATATAATGAATAAGAGTTCTAATGCTACGGTGTTTTTGAAAAAATAGGCCTTTTTTTCCATTGTCACACATAATGCTTTGCTCTTTTGGGGTAACCGCGTTCCTCATTTCCAACATTTTCTGACCACTCCTCAGCATAATATATATGTGCGGTTTCCTTCGCAATGTATTATGGGGTATGTGAAAGTCGTGACTATATAGGATGTATTAGTGAAAGTTTTAGTCATCGACCGAGCAACGAAAAAATAAGAAACGGGTCGGCCACATCCCTTTTTACAAGCAATTGGAGATATCCAGCGCAGTCTCCTATAAGGGGTAAGGCAGTGAGTTGAGAGGAGGGCGTTGAAATCGTATCGACAAAGTCAATGCAACACTTCTTAATTACTCTTCTTTGGAAAACAATTAATAATTTATTTTTATTTCAGTGTTTTTTTCCATTCGTTATTTTAAATTGAATCTCGGTGGATTTCATAAAATATGTATTCTTAAAAAAAGGACTCTTGATAGTTTATTTTTACGATCTTCCTTGCCTATTTCTTTAGGTAGTTGTTTTCATAATTTCAGCTGAATGTAGATTCGTGTAGGATGGGATGAGAACCAACAGAGTTCTATCAACAAGAACAAAATATGTCAAAGAAATTATCGAAAACTTTGATTAATACGTGAGGAGTATCACTTCACGGATACAACGTACATGCACCCCCCCCCCCCCCCCCCACCCCCTCATTGAGTGAGGTTGAGCCCCGGCTTCCTATGAAACTAGTAGAGGTCTTACCTTGCCAACATCGGATAACAAAGTCTTTATTTCTTGTTTCAAGCTGTCGTTGATAGGAAGTGATGAGTTTCCTAGCGACGAGATCACGTGGGCAATGACGTCACCCATCATAACGAGGCGATAGCGTAAGGTGAACATTTTAGGGCTTTGTAGTGAACCAGTATCTTTAATACCTGGAGGTTGTAGAGATGACAAGAAGAATTATCAATGTAATGGGGAAAACAACCAATAAGGCCAATATCATCACTATCACATCGTACTACCTGAGTTTTTCAATGTTTTTATGTCAGATAGAAGTCTTTGTGCTTCACTTTGAAGCCACTCTTGATATTGTTTCTTGATTTCCCTTGTTTGTTCATCCTTAGAGGATGAAATTTGGTCTGCGATGAGCTGTTGGAACATGAAACTTTTATGATCATGCAATGCATTACGAAGAGGGTATAACGTCAAAACCGCCATGATTTTCGACTTTAACACTAGATTTGGCAATATTTTTTGTTATAACAACTTGAAACAACATGGTGGGCGGCTACGCCTTTTGTCCTTTTATTTCTATAGCAATATGACATGCCATCTATGATTTGCTCGGTGGTGAACACTTTGAAATACGTATACATTCACGAAGATTATATGAAAAAACGCTTTGAGTACCTTGAGATGTCTACAAGAGAGTTGTGCAGTGATGAATGGCTCTGCGTAAAGATTACAATCCTCTTGCTCAAAAAGTATGTGCCTGTAAATAAATTAATGGAATTAGTCGAGAAAAACTTGCGGAAGAAGAGGGTAGATTGGATTGAGAACGTTTCGCATTGAAGGAAAATTTTGAGGTTATATGTTTAAATGGATGAAACAGTAAGAGTTTGAAGACATACTCTAGCTATTCCTTGATGCCCTTCGCGCGCATCTTCATCTTGAGCCAATAGCAGGAAAAATACTTCCAAACTAACGAAAACTGAAGATTTTAAGTTTCAATCAAAATTCATTATGTTTATATAATCTTACCTGGATTTAGTATATTCAGTTAGCAATTCCATCACTGAACAACGACCATGTAAAATAGTAACCATAGTAACCCAGACCGGTGGCGACCACCAGAAAACACGTGACATATACTCAAATATCGAAGTAATGGCAACCGAACATGTGATGCTGCTAATGTCATTGACGTTACCATGACGATGGCGAATTTTGGCGCCAAAATGAGAGGCTGCAATTCTTACGTCATCTTGCTCGTCCTCGAGTAGCATGATGCCTGTCTTGAAAATTCTGTAAAGGGGAAAGAGAATAGGAATAAAATAATTGGTAGCAAGTGGGAATAAGACGGAAAAAAGTCAGGTTGGAGTAATAATGGGTGTTAGTCATGACATACCTTACTGCTGTCTCCATTATTTTATCCAAATTTTGATATTCTTTTCCCTGACGTTTCTCGGCAAAATGAAGAACCTCTTCACCTGCTATCCCCAGGCCCCGCGCAGCTCCATTCCTCACGGGTTCAGGTTTACCCGGCATGCTACACTCACTTATTGCTTTTGACCAATCAGTTGCCATTGAGGCCATCTGCGATTGGTCGACCAAGTTTTTGAAAACGAAATAAACTAAAATACTCAAAGCAGTGATTGCTTTGGACTGGACACTAGAACCACGTGATCCACGCGTAAAGGAAAGCAAAGAGACCCAGAGTTGTTCACAGCCTTTAAGCATAATTTCGTCAGACCGAGTGCAAACATCGTTAAAGCAATCTAGTGCAAGTAGCAAGCATTGCTGGTCAGTTTCCATGGTGATGAGTGACGTCAATACTTCATCCAAATCGTGTCGAGTCAAACGTGTTTTATTCTGGAGCACATGGTGAAGGTGTCCAAGTGAGGCGATTCTCGTCTCGCGTTCTTTGCTGTGAAGACATGTTTTGATGACACTGCTGTAATTAGAATCTTCTGAACCTGAGGACAGCAAGAGAAGATCAAATCAAACAGCCTTTAAAACTGAAAAAAAAAAAAAAGAAAAGAAAAGAAAAATACAGAACAGAAACCTGTAATAGAAATGAGAATATATAGGGTGGTGTAGCGGTAGTTAACTCGCATCTCACCTCTGGAGTCTTGGATTTGACTCCCCGACTCGGCATCACACACGGAGTAGAGTTTGTTAGGACTTTCTCTCTCCGCAAAACCTAGACCTTGATCAGCCCAGACGGAAAGTTTTTTGAAGATCTAATTAAGGAACGAAAAGTTCTCATAAAAGGAAGATTCGGATATCCGTTTGAATTACCTTCAGACCAGAACTCGCTGGTTACAAGATCCAGCGCAGAAGCAGAGAGAGCACGGTGTAAGTAGGGCAGTCCCACTTGGACAGGATAGTTATAATTTGTCTTCAATGTCACGTGTTCGATCAAGGACCTCAGGTCATCATCAGCTAAACGAGAGTGATATAAAAGATCCAAACATTTTAATACTAATCTAAACGCAAATGCACAGGGCACCCACGCCCAGAGGTAGTACAGATAGTAGGGCCTTATTTTATACTTAAAAGGTGAGTAAGTAATTTACATCTTAACACTCACCTTTTTTAGAAGCCATTGGAGCCAGCTCCATCAGAATATTCAAGTACTCAGCCTTGGTCAATGCGCAAGGATTCAAATCTGTTCCAAGCCATAATCTGTTCTGCAGCTCTTTCAAAACCAAACCCGTCTCTATGGTAACGTGGGAGTTTGTAGCCATGGCGTCGACGAGATGGTGGACCTGAATAATCACGAATGGTAATAAAGTGAATGAACAACATACATGGACAATAGACTGCAATAGACCCTTTTCGAGTTCCAAATTACCGCTGTGTTCCACGATTGCAGACTTATTTATTCAAGGTTAGCCTCATTTCAGAGTCAACATTTTCACAAATACCAACGAGAAAGTAAAGAATGCACAACTTTAACAATACGAACACTTTGAAATTTCACGGACCTTCTTTGGAACACGTGAATATTCTGCAAAAAATCGAGGCTAACCCTGAGCAGCAGTGAACTCAAAATTACTCAAAGTATTACAAGGCTCTTGGATCACCAAAGAGGACACATACCAAAGTGACTTTTCCTGCCATTTTTCAACCCAAGATGGGGCTGTATGATCACGTGATCTCTTAATAGACCCGTGCCCAAGCATCGTGATTGTATGACAATTGGTTCAACGGATGTCGAAGTCCCGTACCAGAACCGTGCCGTGTCGTGCTGTCCATTTTTAACGAGCCTCTTACCTGGAGAAGAGTTCCATGTAAAGTATTCTGGGACACAGATTGCGGAGAGCTTGGTATAGTGGTGAGTAGCTCAACAGCTTTTCTCACAAACCCTTCGATCGGAATGAATGGTACCAGGGCCTGAGCGGCCAAACTTCGCACAGCATAGACTGGGCTCGAGGACAGTGGGGTTAAGAAGGGTATGAAATCAGAAAGTAAGCTAAAAACAAATGAGAAACAAAAACTTTTAGAAGTAAAAGTAAAATAAATAAATTAGGGCAACAAAATCAGAATATTACCTTTCTTCGATGTCACTCGTTGCTGGTCGTAGCTTGGAAAACAAAGTAAGAATGGGGAAGAGTTCTGGTTTAAGAACCGCGGTGCATGGGGTTGACATCGGTTGGGTGTTGGTATCGGAAGAAAAAGAACGAAGTTGTTCGAGGAAGAAGGAACGAAGGGATGAGAATCGCTTGAAGAAGTCTCTGGCGCTAATGGAATTGAACTGATTCTCATCTTGGAGTCCTCGCTTGTGACCAAGAACACGAAGAACTAATGAACCTGGAAGGAGTTTTAACAAGAGAAAAATAGTGAGATAGACCCATAGAAAAAAACCTTTTTTGAGCTAGCGAACGTGGTTCATTGTGTTCTAGCTTCGTTACAAAAATGTTTGTTCACGGCACCGCAAGGCACGACATATCGTAACATGACAGGGGTAGATCGAGGAATATTAGAAGGGGGGTGACTGTTACAAAGGTTTTACCAGGAATTCAAGGAAAAGGGGGCAGACTGTTACTAATAACGATATACTGAGAAATTTGGGGGGTGGGGGGTGACTTGACACCCCTTTTACCACACCTGGATCCGCCACTGCATGACATGGTAAAAGTGACCCATACAAGAGATACTCGAGATAGAAATAAAGCTTGATTACATACCAAAGAGTTGTGTTGCAGCATTGCGTATAGACCATAAAGGTGAAGCAAATCCTTGTACAGCCAGTACCAGACCTTGTTCAGTGTAGCACAAAACATCGTTCCCCAATGCTGTGTCTTGGTACAGCAAACGAAGAATATTCATGGCATGTACCTGAAGACGAACAACATTATAATCATGCAGTATAAAAACATTTTTAGAAGATATATTTCCATCAGGTAATCGTATACTATTTATTTAGGGGCTTAAAAACATTAGTTTTTGCTCACCGTTCACAGAGAGCACTATCAATTTTTTTTCTACCTGGATTTGTTGAGTTGGAAACATACGGTACTGACTTACAACCAGAGAGCATAAATAAGAGAGGAAAATTTTCTTAATTCCTTACCCCACTCTCGTGCGACATCAACTTGCGCGTGAGCGCTCTTTCCGTTTAATGTTTTGATCTGTTTTGATCCAGGTTTTGATCACTAAAAACGAAACGGAACGAGCAAACGCGGGCAAGTTGATGACGCACGGGAGTAGGGTGAAGCGAAATTTTTCTGCATCCGTTTACTAAAAATAGCCCAACCGGGAATTTACATGGCGCGCGCGTTATTAAGAAGTTTCCCTCTCTTATTTACGCTCTCTTGCCAACAAGGTACGACTGCTGTAACATTATATATTACTATTGTCTTCATTCAAAAAACGTAGTTACGGATACGGTAAGACACGGTACGCAGGCTACGGTACGACTACGTATTATCTCGTATCGTTGACTACTCATACGAAAACCGCTCTAAAACCTATGTAATCTAGATAGAATTCATTAGCTTTCGTTAGACCAGTTGGGTTACCTGTGGTAAGTCTGTGGTCTGGTCGACAACCTCGGGAATCGGTTTGAAGGCCACGTTCAGTAGTTTATCCAGACAATACTTGACACTTTGCTGTCGTTTGTTCGGAGATTCACTGGCTAGTATGTTAACCACTAACACAGGTAGCCCAGCACTGAAAATGTACAACAAAGACGTTTATTATGAATTACAATTGATAAACCCTAGGCAGATTAAATGAGAAAAATACCGCTCAATAAAGGTGCATCCGATAGATTTTTTATTTATTTCAAGACTTAGGTTAATTTACTGTCAGAGTGGATTTTGTTGATCAGATTCAGAATTCAGATTTCGTTCTCAGATTCAGACTTTTTCATGTCAAATTCAGATTTCGTTCTCAGATTTTTTTGTCAGATTCAGATTTTGCTGTTACTGCTTACTTAAAAGAGGATAGGCAGTCTCATGGCTACTGCTTTGCTCCAAGTTTCTAATTGGTTTATTTATTACGTCAGGTATGGACTAAGATTGATGCGCAATGCCCCCATTGCCTTAGCCCTACGAGGTACCCCAAATATCTAGGGTTCGAAAGGGAGAAAGACGATAAGGCGATCGTACCTTCTCCTAGTTACCGATGAAGCGGCACCCTGGCCAGAAATAGAGTCGATGACGTTCCTTATCCATTGCCTTGGTAACGAATATACGCACTCGATGGAAGACTCACTGAGGCGTCTACTGACGATGGTCAGGCTGACCTTGCAGCTGAGTAAAATACCCTTGAAGAGAGCAATAGAAAGAAATCGTATCAGTGTTAGAAAGAAAGACAGAAGCGGTTTAGGTATCAGTCTGATGGGACATATATCGAGGTAGATTCCAAAAACATAAACCCTACTGACCGTGAGCCTGCAATGCGTAAATATTTTGATGAATATTTCCCCTATCGCCGTTAAATCTGAGCTTGGCAATAATGACGCAAAACGACTGTCCTCAGAACCAGAACTTGAGACTTTCTCGACAATATTTGAAAGGAGTTGACACCCAAACTGAAAAGTAAAATAATATTAGTAATAATGATTTAGGAATAAGCAAAATCTTTGGTGTTTTTACTGTTCGTTGTTTAAGAAAGTGTTGATGGTGATGAGGGCGCGGAATTTCATTGTTGGGCTCTATCATGTTAGAATCTGTCACGTGATGTGTCTTTTGCCAGGATAGCACTTGATAGCCGCGGTAGCTAAAAATCCTTTGTCACTAATTCCATAATCAAATTGGAATTTAGAAATTGATTTTTGCGGAGGGAGGAAAACCAGAGAACCCGGAAAAAAGCCAAAAAACCCTCGAAGCACAGGAGAGAACCAACAAACAACTCTACTCAGATATAATGGAATCAAACCTATGACCACAGAGGTGAGAATGCGCATTAGCAGCGCGCGCCCATGCTTCCATAATGCCAGTAGAAAAGGGAAATTCACCAGAAGAACCATCCACTACCTTAATGCTAAGAAAACAGCAAGACATGATGAATTCCTTTTGGTGTTGCTGTGATAATGTTGTATCGTCTGTCAAAGAATTCACAGATATCGCATCTTCAACTGCTTCGCCTAAACCAGCAAACGACGCGCCACAAACCACTAAAATAAAAACACATAAAACATATGTACTGAGATTTCGTATAACGCAGTGTAACGGTACGGCGCACGACACCGAATTGATTCACGAGACGGGAAAAGTCTATCGATAGTCCCTGATGTGACTTGTGATATACAGCGCTCTTTTCCATACACACCGTTTTCAGAGTCTTGCTTCCTTGATAGTACACCCAACAAGAAGTCAATGACTTCGATAGTAACCTGTACGGTACGCTGTAAAATGGTTTTGAATGACTGGAACGTTGGTTGAGATATTTGAGGACAAGTGATGGTGTCCAGATAGGATGATATGCAGCGACATAAGGTGAGGAGGATGCCTGGAATAGATGGAAAAAAGACAAAGCTGTCAATATATAAAAAGAATATATAAGAGTTACACTCTATTGGCTTCAAAGTCAATACAATGAAATGTATAGAAACTGTCACAAAACCAAAGGCTGGAAGTTTTACACATATCTATTGCGTATAGTCACCGTGAATAGGATATTTTTCAGCTGCAACAGCTATATTGTCTTTCGCAGAACTTAATTGACGTTCTGCCTCCGCCAACAATTCGCTCAGAAACTGCACGCAGTGGTTTCCACGCTCTTTTGAATCAGCATCCCTTTGACTTTGTGCAGATGGGTCACTGAAAATGTCTTTGACTTCCCAGTCCAGAAGAACCACGTATCTACAAACACAGAAAATATTAAACCAGTTTCGTAAAGCCTCTCGCTTGATTCGTGGCCGGGATTTTCTCCGCGTACTCCGGTTTTCCTTCCTCCGCAAAACCTAAGAAGCTAAATTCTAATTTTAGCAGTGAGTTCGTTGTCCTGACTTAGATTAGCCCAGAGGTTGTTTCAGAGTATCGATAACATTTGAAGGTTTATTATAAGCAAGAAATTTCAAATAACTGATTGAAGGGGATACTTGACTACCCAGGGGGATGGGGGTGAGAAGGGAAAACTCTACTTTTGAAACGCGGTTTCATTTGAGACGTTTTGGTTAGGGTTGGGAAATTTTATTCAAACAGCATGACTCGAAAGAGATTGAAAAAATGCTTGGGCTACCTGTTTTTTGGTAGATAGACAATGAAAATCAAATGAAAAGCTATTAAAACTGTATGGTTGACCAAGTTGGTAAAATATAATTCAGTTACCTTTCAAATAAGAGTTGACAGATAACTGCACCACTTTCACTTTCTTGAGCCTTGGGACTACAGATTAGCTGTGATGCTTCATTCATTAGATCAACAGCGAACTGGGAGTCTCCTTTAGACTTGTCCAGTCCAGTGAGAGGACCAGAGAAGTGATGACGAAGGATGTTCAATGATAACTCACGAATCTGGAATACAGAAGGGGGAAAAATGAAAACCTTTATAGCATTCTATTTGGTAGATATCTAACCACAGATCATGAATGGATAGAGTGTATGGGGTGGATGGATGGCTGAATGGAATAGGATGGATAAACGGATGATGAATGGATAAAATGGTATGGATAAAGCAATGGCAGGAGAAAGCGGGATGAAATTGGATGGATATATGAATGGGAGGTTGATTGACAGATGGATAAATGGTATGCATAGACAAATTGGGAGGCATATAGATGCATGAAAGTGGATGGGTAAATGGCTAGATGGAAGAATACAATGAATGGATGGATTAGTGGATAAAATGGGATGAAATAAGATGGGTGGATGAAAGAAAGAGTGAGTTACATTTCATTCTTACATCAGAATGGGAACTCTGCAAGCATCCAAGCAACACGTGGATATTCCTGCAAAAAATAATTACAAATTCATCAGTTTACGAACAAATATCTATAAGGGAATTTATCGAAAAGAAATAACACTTATTCTGGCTGTAGAAAAGGTTTACCTGGGCGAATAAAAACTCCATAAACCTTTCGCCTCTGAAAACTTCATCAGAACGATAGTGCTTTCTGGAAATGAAAACTATGAATTAGTCAAGGACCATTGTGGAGTGACCGTTATGTCTGTTACCAGCTTTGACAGAACATTTTTACTCAGTTTCAAGGAGTACTCAAGGACTTTTCAATGATTTTTATTTTTCAAGAGCTTTTTAAGCGCCACTGAAATCAGTTGTATAATAAATGGAAAGGCTTTTCAAGGACTCCAAGGACCTGCACGAACCCTGACCGACGGGAATGATTTGCGCAATGGCTGTGTTGAAAGCCAATACATCCATTATGTGTAGTGACTAGTAAAAAGTGTTTATAGCACTGGAAAAATATAGATTGCGAGTAGTTCCTGTATTTTCGTTTGTCACTGTTTGGTAGGTTTGCTTTGATTACTTTGGATTAGTATAGCTAGTCTAATATTCCCAGGGGAGAAGTGTGGTACGGTCTATGGCAAATAATGTACCTGGTGCTTGTCCTTTTCTCTTGTCAGGATTTCCCTTCACCGCAAACGTATCGAATATTATAGATATCAGCTCTAGTGCTGGCAAGATAAAGTACAACGCATCATTAGTATATTGACCATGCGATGATGAGTAGAGCATCGCCAGCTTTCGTTATGAAGGGGTATGCAACTCTAGGTACAGACGTAATAGACCTTGTCTGAGTTCAATAAACAGGATGCATTGTGGTATAGCTTGGATTTGAGCAACACCATATAAGACAAGGTGAACAAAATATTTTTGTACCGAAGCTAAACTACAATGCAGCAATTTCAGAAAAGGACAATGACCGCCATGTTGGAGAAATGATGCTCAATAGTAAAGAACCTCAAAATACAAGAAAATAGAGTGTTTACAAAAGATATTTATGTTTAGAAGATACCTGTCTTTTGTCGTTGATAATTGGCTCCGGGCAAAAGCGAGTTAACCATGAACGTCATCGTCCATTCGACGAATTCTAAAAAATAGAAGATAATATTTGTGGACATTGGTACATCGTACAAGTGCATTGGTACATCGTACATGTGCATTTTAACTCGAATTTGTTGATATTTTCTCATCTTACCTAAAGCATGGACGAGATCTGATTGAACAGACAAAGCCTGAAGCTCATTTACTCCAAGTGAATGATTCTTGAATATTTTCGGATAACACCTCTTTAACTCACTCAGACTGAAACGGCAAGTTCAAAGAAAGAAAACTTAGGGGATACAAATCCTTCTAGAATTTTCAGGAATGTTCTGGAATCCTGTTAAGGGAAACGCTAGGTAACCAAGGTAACCACGAGACAAAAGGTAAGCGACAAAACATTTAAAGATGAGTAGAGGTAGCCTGCGTGCAGCCGAACAAAAGAAAAACTTAGAAACTAACCGTGATTTTGGGTTTTGGATACACGCAGGCTAGTATAGAGATAGAGGAATCAGAAATTTCTTACCAGCTGTCGCGAATTCTAGACAGAATTTTTCTCATGGCCACAAAAAGATCTTGTCGGAATGATGGACAAGCGATGTTCAGATTGTGACAAAGAAAGTTGCGCAACAAGCCAAGCTCGATCTCTGATAATGACTCTATAAAAAATAAAGAATCCAATGACAATTACTAGTAGAGAGTTTACTAAAAATATACAAGCTTTGTAATATTCTTATTAAGCTAAAACTTTACTGCGAGTAGTCTATGTTTTGGTCAAATTAGAATGAAAAGACTTGAACCAGTGGACGACTGGGAAATCGAAAATGAAGAGTTTTAGACCTTACCTGAGGTTTTTGAGCTACAGCTTAACACACCAAGTGCGTCCAGACGTATAGTGTCCTCAGCATCTTCTAGTGCTGATGTCAGCAGTTCTTCATCCTGACAAACCGTGTATATAGATAGTATAATACATTGATACTAGTGCGTGCCCTAGTGCGCTATAGAAATGTGGAACTGGGACCTTCTCGTTTTACACTTCCTAATTCTTATGGCCTTCAATATCCCAGTAATAGCGATACTTTCATGTGACAAAAGCCTTTGTCAATCATGTGCCAACCAGAGATCGATTGGATAGTGACACAAAGCAACAAGTGACGAGCTTTTGTAAAAATATTTGGTATATTAACATCACAATGATTTTGCTAGTAAACATGAAGTATCGCTATAGAAAAACTGATACTGATAACCATTGAATACTTACCAGCTGCTTTGACTCCATGACACCCAACGAGCGAGCGGCTTTGAGGATAGCCAAGTGAGCAGAAACGACACGTGACTGGTGGCCACCGTTGCTATGGAGATCTCTTAACATCTGGTCTAGTGCATCCGGGACATTCTTAAGGACACAAGGCAGCCAATACTGGCGAGTGTGTTGGGCAAGCAAGCTACCATGCATGCGTATATGAAAAAAGAAATTGGTTTGGATCAATATTCCCGCCCTTAATTGTAAAAAGGTGTTTCTAGTTTCTGTAACAAAGTTCTTTCTTACTGGACAGAGTTGTTAGCCCTGCGCCAAACCCACAATTTGGAGGACCAATGGATACCTTACGCGCATCCTGGAGCAGATAGCATGAAGTAAAGTTAAGAAGTTAAGTATATAAGGGTAAGGTACTTCAGACTGAAACTGTACAGTTATAAACTCATCAGCTTCGGCTCCTAGATTCGAATTGAGTGTAGTATGAAGCGACTTTCAACCCGAACCTATATGGGATGCTTCAAGAGGAGAACTCGTTGGCGGTGAAGAAGACTATGCAAATAAGAAGATATCTTTTAAATTATACTTACGGGTTTTCACTTGTGAGAGATTTCAAAAGAATATTTTTCCATTGGAGATTGAAGGGTTTCTGAAATCAAACCATTTAAAGGGCATATTAAACCATAGAATCATGATCTAACGAAGCGGTCATGTCGCTATTATTTATTAAGTTTATGACGCCACTTACGTCAACTTGACTGCCACACGAGTCGATTTTACCAGTCCTGGAGATAAAAATGAAAACTCAAAATTCTTTGATGTCAGTCATGATCGTAAATGCAGGGCATTTGTAAAATAACATCAATGAGATAAATGAGAATCCTTTTTATGTCGATTAAAATTTCAAGTAAACATTTCATTATTTCATTAATTATTGTTACCGTTTGTGAAGCAGCAAAGTTTTAAAGGCCTCTGTGGAAGCAGAAGAGAGCTGGTTCGACTTCAAGCAGTATGCCATTTCTTCAAGTAAAGATGGTCTCTTGTTGAATACCTACGAAGTAATCATTGATAAGAAGATGCCAATTTTATCTGGAATGCAACTGCCTTATTTAAGAGGTATGTCCTAAATTCCAATTCTGTGAGCTAGCGGTCCCCTAGTTTGATAAGCCAAGCGGTTGTTTCAGGGTTCGATCTATGAGTTAGCCGTACCCTGACTTAGATCAGCCCAGAGGTTGTTTCATGGTTGGATCTATGAGTTATCCATGCCCTGACTTAGATCACGCCAGAGGTTGTTTCATGATTGGACCTATGAGTTAGCCGTGCCCAAACTTTGATAACCCCACTTACATTGCGAAAATATCGATTCATTGCGGATTTTCATTTACGCATTTGTTATGAATGTCTTTAGAGGGACTTTGCGCCGTTATAGTGGGTAACGTACTCTACCATACCTGTTCCAGCGTGACGTGAGGAAGGAGTTCACAGATCAGTCCATATCTTGTCTTTACTTGCCATGGCACTGCAAGAACTTTGTCTACAATAGACTCATAAAACTGTGCTCTCTACGAATAAAAAAGTGTGAATTCGTAAATCATTCATTTAACTGAAACAAGAGGTTGTGGAACTTGGCTCGACACGAGCGTCAGAATTTTACCCCTGGATTCCCGAGGGTGGAGTCCCAGAGGCTCTCAATCCAGAGCTATTTGGTCGTAAGTTCTTTTATCGCAAGAGAAATTGTCTTACACTATACGATCTCACTCGATACTTAAATCACTTACAAACGTTTCCTCGTCTTTAAGGATGTAATGTTCTCCATCGTGTACGTCGAGGAATAATCCAAATATGCCTCTCCCTGCTATAGATACTCCCTCTACCTGAGATATCATAACAATAATTTATTAACTTATAAAGCGCAAGTATCTATATACATATTCAAATGCGCTGTTTAAAATATATATACTAATAAAACAACACTAATAAAACTAGCAGGATAAATTGAGATAGAAATAACAATCAATAATAATAAATTAGAACATAAATATAAATAACTATTTCGACTGTCGCTCAACGAAAAATAATATTATTAAAACGATCTTCGTATACTGCATATATGCTAGTACATGCAAAAGTAATAATACAGAATTAATTCCATAGATAGAGCCCCCCCCCACAAGAAAACAGTGTGCGCGCGCGAAATACAACTTTTATCGATGTCGTAAAACAAACGTACCGGATCTTCCAGGCTGTCCCAAACATGCTCCAGGATTTGACTGGTAAAGATGGAATCACAGCCAAACAGCCTTTGTGAATCCTTTTGACAGATATCTTCAAGGAGCTGCTTTATACGGTGCATTAAACTCTTGATGACTGCGGAATAAAGAACCAAGATGAAAACACTCAAAGCTATCGAAAACTTAGGCAGCCATTCCACTTGATCATCTGAGCTCCGCTCGAGTACGATTTTATAAGTTCCTTTTGGGGGGGGGGGGGGTTGTGTTTCGTAAGGAGAGAAAAGCCGAAGAACCCAGAGAAAATCCTCGAAGCACAGGAGAGAAGCAACAAAGAACCCTACTCAAATGTGATGAGTGGTACAAGGATAGCTAAGGACAAAACCCACAAATAAAGACCTTTAGATCCGACGACGACTACGAGTTTTTAACTTTGAAAGATTGATACTATCATTTTATGTCATGGTCGTGTACATAGATTGAAACTTTAGATTGTAAAAAATCGGTAATTGAAAACGATTCAGTGTTACCCACGCGCGTAAGACCAATTTTAAAACTCGTACTCGTTCTCGTCGTCGGATCTCAAGGTCGCTAATATCCCAGCGGTGACAGGCCTAACATAAGCAGCGCACATAATTGTTGAACGTTATGTTTTAACATAAAATCAGTTTGAGATCCAAACACCAAGTTATACTTACCTTCATAGGCGAGGTAATGGATGACAGGGTTTATCTCTTCTTTACATATCTTGTGTACCTTGCCAAACAGAATACTGACGAGAAAGGGCCTCTTGAACAGATCAACAATGAAATCAGTTAGAAGGTATAGGTTGTCAGCGCGTGTGGTGATTCGTAAGGTTGTATAAGATAGAGAGCCTTGTTCACAACACTTTAAACGTCATGCAGTGCCCCGAACACATGTGAAAGAGGCAGCTATGGTGCACAAAAAGTTTTCCCCTTTCGGCGTCTTATTTTCGTTCTAAAAGTAAGAGTTGGGGCGTGGCTGTATATAGATCAACTTTCCTTATAAACAATGATTTTTACTGCAACTCTAACCAACCTCAAGCCTTTCTTTCAATAAAAATCCCTGCAATAAAGACCTCCTTTTGTCTGCTCATTCGTGACGTGTTTGGCAGCAAGATTTTGACGAAAGTAACCTAAGTACTTAAAGATACATTTGGCATTCAACTCACCCCATTTATGGCATCATGCAAGAGGATTTCCTTTCTACTTGTCGTAATGAAAGCGTGTAATATTGTGATTCGAGTCAGTGGTGAATATCCAGCCACTGGTAGATTGGTTTCAAGGTTACAAATTGTAATGACACTCTCTGCTGAAGGAGATTTCTTGTCTTCTATTTTTAAAAAAAGAAATGAAATTGTCTAAGAGAAATCGAAAAAATAGATTTTGTATGGGATGAAAACAATAGACTATAGCTATTTCATGGACTTGGGTACATGTACACCCATTAAGCCAATACCAGCACTGTTTTCTTTTGCTTTCCCAATACAAAGTACTGCATGCCTGTAATGAGAGAAATCAGTGGGTACTTTTTTCCTATTACTTTTTCCCTTCAAGCACAAAACCACAGGGATCCAGTCATGTATATTTTGTGTATTTGGAAGCCAGTATTTTACCAGTGTGGTCTAACAGCTGAATGATTGTGTTTATAACTTGTGATTCATCAGTCTCGCTGTTTAGTAAAAGACTTAGTGCTGTTCCAGCCAGAAGAAGACACTCTTTTACCAAAATCTACAAAGAAGGTACAAATATCTACCATGAGACAATAGAGGCTTTGCACCATCACATGATAGCAGCCATGACAGGAGGCAGGAACAATTGTATCTTGTCTAAAGAATTCAGTTTCCTGTAGGAAAAATACTCTATTGTTGTCCTTCCTGTCATGGCTGCCATCACATGATGCTATTAGCTTGAGGAAACAAAGAAGCAGATAGGAAAGAAAGAAGAGAAGAAGGGAGAGAGGGAGGGGGAGGAGGCTGAGGGTTTGGGGCATATACATGCATAACAAAGCAGCTAAACAGTGCCCATTACCGGTTGCACCTCAACCCTCAAAAAGAAAAACCCATTCATTCAAATTCCCTTATTAGTAGGATGAAAATACCTTAGAAAACAGAACACAAACTAATAGTGATATTAATGTTTTCAGTTCTTGTTTGGCTTGACTGACTTCACTCTGGGAAAGTTGTCTGAATTTTGAAGAAAAGTGCTGAAACATCTGAAGGACTGCCTGGAAAAGTAAAAAAAAACTTTCTCAAGGCACAACAAAGATTAGAAGAGGGCAATCAAGTGATTAATTGTTCGATTGATTGAATTATTCAATCAATTTTCCAATCAATCTATTCAATCCATTAATCCACCAACATACATGTTCTATCCATTCTCTAACTTGACTGCCCACCTATTCATCCACCCACTAAGCAATGAATTATTCCATCCACTATCCATGCATTAATTCACCAACCATACACCAACTCTGACCAATCCAGTCTTCTATCCACTGATCATCCCATCTACCCACCCATTTATTCATCCACTGAACAATCAATTAACTTAACCATCTGTCTTTCTTTTCATTAATTTGCTGATGCATCTTTCCATCCAACCATCAACAAACCCTCATATCTACCTGTCCATCCCTTCCTTCTGCCCTACCTCCCTCCACCAGTGTGCCTATCCATTCATCCCTCATCCCTCCCTACCTCCACCCATATGCCCACCCATTCATCCACCTATCCCTTCCTTCCTCCATCTTTTCTTAAGTCATCCAAATATATTACTGGCAATACCTTACCTTAATAACTAATAATAGAGTATCTTGGTAATTTACTATGTTTGTTTTTCTAGACTCCTCTAACTGAAATATAATGATTATAAAAATTGAATTGCCATAATTGTCAATAATAGACTAAGTAGATCCCTTCTAGGTAACATCCATAAAAAATAGCTATAGGGTATTTCTATCATCAACAACTTCATTATAATAATCTCCTTAATCATCATCATAAATGTCACCATCATCAATGTCACCATTATCATCATCATCCTCATCATTTATCACCATCATCTATAACCTCATCATCATCATCAATATTATCATCATCAACTTCATTATCATCATCATTTCCATTATTTATCATCTGATCATCATCGTTATCATCAAGTTTATCATCTTTAATTCTATCTGGCTCACCTTGTCGATTATTTTATCACACCATTCTGCAGTAATTTCTAAAACCTTTTCAAACTTTTCTTCTATACACTGTCTTCCCAGGCTCCAACTTTCAACAATGATTATAACTAAACAGAAAAGAAGAAAACCTTGGTATTAAGCATTCTCACCCTTTCATATAAAAATAATCAAAATTGAAGCATTTTATGTTTCAATGCACCACAGCCATAAAACTATAATGAAAAATGACCAAAAGTACACTGACTGAATTACAAAAGAGCTTTTCCATTCCTGTACCCATTTGATCAAAAAAATACCCACTCTAATTTGAAGTCATTAATGTTGCTGATTATTACAATTAAGTGATTACCATTTTGCAGAGTTTGTGTGGAGTTGTCTTCCGACTCACTAGAAAGAATGGCATCAATTTGTTTTGTGATTTCCTCCTTGGTAACATCAGGACAGATAGCATAAACAGATTGAATGATCTGTGGGGTAACATATTTTATGTAACATGTGCAATAAAATATATTTAATCAATGTTATGAAATATCCATTAGAAAATATCCATACCACTCCCAAGAGTGCCCAGGTTGTAGAAGGAAATGCGAAGTAAAAATCCCTGAATGTAGGCTAGCTGTCACAACATGTCTTATTTTTCGTACATGTAATTCTAAAATTTCTGGGGTGAGGCAGTTCCTAAATCACCTGCACCCCTCCCCCCAGCATTGCAACCCCTGGGGGATGGTCTAGAATGCAGAATGATTTCTAGTCTTTTCTTGAAATAATTTCTTTGGGCTGGGGTACAACATCTAATACAATTCATTTTCTTTAAAAGGATGTATATAAAGATATTTTCTAAAACTAAAATTTGAATAACAACTTACTTTAATAATTCTCTGGTTCATTTTTGGACATAATATGTTACTAGCAAACATCTCACTCATGAGTCTTGCAAACTCTTGAAGGCACTGCTGATCATGGGGTACCTCTCCTTCATTTTTGGTAGAAAATTTCCTAAGGTTTGAAACTTCTACATGTAAGCGATCCAATAGAATCATTCTCTTCTTCTGTGCACTTTGTCTGTTTTAATAATGAAGTAATAATTGATAAATATTCTGATTGGAACGTGCACCCCTAATTCAAGATTTGTGATTTATCTAATATACACTTGAGACTAGATTTAAACTCTATTTGACACTGTTTTCAATCTGATGTAAGTTTTGATAAACAGAGGTTATCACTCGGCTAGCGAAGTATCTGATATGACTGTGTATTTTTACAAATCACAGCCCTATCAAGTGCTTAGTCGACTAATGATTTGTCTATCATTTAAATCTGCAAAGAAATGCTCAAACTTCCTCTAACCTCTTTGGTACCTGATCGTCAGCAGATGAGAAGTGCTGACGCACATTCTTTGCAGAATTAAATGATAATGGTTCATATAGTGCAGCAAATACGCACTTGAAAGTGATTCTGACACGAGAGGTGGTTAGTATAATTCGTAAATGTTTGTACAAACAATCGCGAGCAAGATTTTAAAAAGATTTATTGATGCGATTTTTTAATGAACACCTTAAAAATTATTTGCGCGCTATCAATGACAGATCCAAACCATTTTAAAAAGATTTATTGATGCAATTTTTAAAGAACACCCATAAAAATTATTTGCGCGCTTTCAATGACAGATCCAAACCCAGTATTTCTAGTAAACTCTAATGTCTGAATACGAACCGCAGCAAATCACCCAAAATCGTGTAAATTGTAAGCCAGTGTTTACAACTTTTCTCTTTGAAATCATCTAGTTTTCTCAATACCAAGTCAAGCGAAAATTGCTTATCCATTTCGACGGCTGCTTTAGTGACTAAAGAATTGAATAATTGGGTAAAATTTTCAAAAATTAATACGAGTTTTCTAAGAGCAAAAGAAATCCTTCTCGTCCGCCATCTTGAACGCGCACCCAACTAGAAGACTGGCACTAATTACTTTTCCCTTCACTATTTTTCAGTATATTTTTTTTTCGCCTACGCTTTGACGTTAACGTATAACATTCTCAGTAAAATTTTATTGCGCTTATATTTTTCTACTATTTTGGGTAGAAATATTAGCTAAGAAATTTGCCAAATGAAAATTATTACCCGCAAAGACTGGTCTTCCTGTGGTTTTCACCAGGCCTTTTAGCAGACTTCGTAAAGCTGGGTTCAAACAAGATAAAAACATGGCGGACTTTGTTTGTGTTTGAGAAGCTTCAGTTTTACTAGATATTTTTGGGGCAGTTTTACAGCCGATCTTTTGAAATGTTTGGCGACAAGGCCTTAGAACTGGTCAAGGAGCTCAAGAGAACAAGTGATGGCACTTTACCTCCGTATAATGTGAGTTTTTTGAGCTTTGAAATTTGCGCGGGAAAAGCAAATGTGGAACGAAAATATTAAAAATCACGGATTTTATTTCATAGGAAGATGTCGTTCGACAAGTGCTTGAAGAAATGAAAGCTTTATTTGAACAGAATCAGAAAGAAGTGTAAGCTTAATTTTTAAGCCATTTGGGATCACCTGTGGAGGAGGAGGTTGAGTGGAAAAGAAATTGTTGAACTTATAAATTTAATAGGTTGTCCCCCCCTCCTCCCAACCACATTTGGCTGGAAATTTTAGGCACTCTAAAACATACAAAATTTTTCATATCAGAAATTCAGTTCAACCCACTAATGTGCATTGATTAGTAGCTTGGTTGATTGGCCTGCAAGGAAGATCCTTGTTGTATGATCATCCATCTCCCTTGCAAACAGGGCCAAGGCTTCTAATGACGTATGATTTTTGAAATTTTGACATTGCATATATCATTTGTTATGATTGTCAGGAATGCAACAGTAGCTGGTGAATCAGGACTGTTTTCAGGTGTTCACCTCAGACATGCCAGTCTCGAAAGGGATAAAAGATGCCTTTTAGTTTATATGTAAGTTATTAACAATGAAAAAAAAAACTTTGTTTGATATAGGGGATAGATAACACTTGGCAGTAATTCAACTGATAAACTAGTGGTCTTCCGTTAACATCTCTAGTTGATGAGGGATGACATTAAGTTAACATAGCCATCCAAGTCATTTGAAGGTCTAACCATTTGCATATGTAATGACAAAGGCAGCACTTTCTCCTCACTTATTTTAATACCCTGAGTGTTGGTGCAGCTAAGACTTGAATCACGACCTCCTGCACAACAGACTGATGCTCTTACCAACTGAGCCTACCAGGCAGCAGTAACGATCTATAGCCTTGACTGTGATTGCAAAAAACATAATTGGTTCTCCAAAGATGGAGGAATAGCTTGATCTTTGAAATTAGTAGCTTACTTCTCAGATGTCATTRGGGTTATCATGCAAGGCTTCACTCCTGGGAAGAAAGTAGGAGGCTTTGAAGTTTGATATATTTACGTAAATTGAAACCAAACCAAATTTATACATTATGTTTGTTGGTTTTCTATTTGGTTCCATGCATGAAGGGGCCTCTCAAAACCAGAAAAAGCCCCTGCAGGCCAGTCACTAGGGGTGGCTCGATAGTTCGAACAAACCCCTCCACCTTTGTAGAAGCACAAAATAATGCTTTGCGCTATTTTAGTTTTTCAAGAAATGACATAACTAAAATTGAAAGAAAGACGAACCTCCCCTTTCAAGGTCCTAACGGCAGGCCTTCCTAGAAGCAAGGAATCAATATCTGATATAAAATACACGCCAAAATCCCCATCTAAAATTTTGTAATATCTTTTTCGTTCCTTTTTCAGTTATAACAGAATGATAAGAATAAAAAACTTTAGATGGGAGTTTGGTACAGTCCTCCCTGAAGATGTCAAATACAACATGTGCGAAGAAGAGGTATAGTTCATAGATTTGATTGATGGAAATTGTGAAAAATACTTTGTCCCATTTTGCATAAAAATGTATGAATTAGGTGTTAATGAAAACCCTGCCTTTTTAATCATTGAAGCTTACCTCATAGAACTGCAAACCTTGTTCGTTGGGCTTGGCTCACAGGTGTGCTGTTTTCTTTCAGATTAAGTGGTTCACAAAGTATAACAAGTCTCTTGCTACTTATATGAAATCAACTGGGCTAGACCTCACACAGGTCAGTAGTGATCTTATCTTTGTTCAATCAGATACGGAGAGAAGTGTGGGAATATTTTAGGCCAGATTCAATCATTTAAATAAGGTTTACTAGATGTGAAGCATATATCCTGCATTCTAAGGGTTTTTGATGGAGTGATAGGAATGGTGTGTAACAGATGAGATGTCTCCTTTAGAATTTATATCCTGTTTCATGCTAGGGGTTAGTAGAGACCTTAAGACGAGTATGAGAATGATTATGTGTGCAAGGTTAACACTGAATGGGAGTCAATTTCCAATTTTTTACAAACTAAAGTTTCAATCTACATACTCGATCATGACTACGAAATGATAGTGCCAATCTTTAAAAGCTAAAAGCTCATTCTTATTCTTGTACTAGTTGTCAGATCTAAAGTTGGGTAGTGACATAGGGAGAGGAGGGGATAGAATGGAGTTGAAGTTATCCAACTTTGTCATCTAATTTATGTAGTGTTTCAAGAAGTTAACTTCTTGGGAAACATTGGTAGTGGAGAGGAATACCAAAGACTAATGAATGTAAATAACAATTCTCTTACTCAATGCTTACAAGATTAAACTGATTTTTTAGGACACAAAACCACCAAAGTCTCTTTATATCGAGGTAAGATTGTTTCAATATTGTAATTAACCAAAAAAATGAATAGTATGAAAAACATTACTTATTGTGGAAATTATTTTAATGAATGATGCTTATGCATTTGTCTAACGATTGAGGGTCATTTGTAGAAAATATCTTAATGCACTAAATATTATTTTAGTAAACTGAAACAATTAAGATTTGGTGTTCATGTATTCAACAGGTTCGTTGTGTAGAAGACTATGGTGAGTTTGAAACTGAAGATGGAACAGTGGTTTTGCTCAAAAAGAACAGCCAGGTATGCTAAATGATTGGACCAATACTAAGTTAAAGTATTGGTTCTAACTTCTGGTTATTCCTTTTTGTAACATTTAGGTATTTTAGGGGTTCAATAAACAAGATGCATTCTGGTCTAACTTGGGTGCGAATGACTCTATTTAAGGCATAGTGAACAAAAAGCAATCGTACTGAAGCCAAGGCTGCGTTCATAATATATGGCAGAGGGGGCGGTGGCAGGTGAAAATTTGAAATGTCTAGAATAATTCTTAACACCCCCCCCTAAAGTCATGCAAAAAAATACAATCCCTCCTAAGCAAGGCTTGTAGCTTCTTCCAAAAATTGTGCAACCCCCCTTTTTCCTGCCAAAATTTTCCGGATCCCCCCTAAAATTCACCTGCCCTCCCCCCCCGCTATACGTTTATGAACGCAGCCTAACAACAATGCATCTTATTTGCCATCTTGGAAGAGGCTAAAGGAAGAGGAAAAATATCAATAGAAACAATTGCCCAGGATTTCTTTTTCTTTATCTCTCATCAAATGCCCTTTGATGGCTTCCCTTATGGTAGCTGGCTCTTAAACTCAGGAACCTACTGAATGAGAGCTTAGATATGGCTGAAGCTGGCGATAACAAGAGACAGATCCATTATATGAAATAATTAGTCTTACGAACATTTTAAAAGGTCCTGTCCAATCACATCTGGATATCTTTGAAAATGAAATTTTTTGCTTTGTGAATTGGCGTTGGGGACGCAACGTTTCGAAAACGGATACATAAGGACGCGCGGAAAAGATTTAAAAACGCTTTATGTAGGCGAGAATTTTGGATAAAGGAATAAAATTCCGTTTTCAAACATATCCGGGAACAAGTGTGAACGGGGCCTAAAAGTCATGCCAGAAAGCACTCAAAGTTTTTGACAAAATGTTTGAGCCTTTTTCAATATTTCAGTGCGTTATTATTAAGTGCAGATTTTCTACTGTCTTCTCTCTTGCAGCATTTTCTACCAAGATCTCATTGTGAACATTTAATCAGACAAGGAGTACTTGAACACATAATGTAGAATACTCGAGCTATTATAGACCAAATTTACCATCCTTCTCTGTCATGCTAGCCTGTCAAAAGCACCCGACTTCCTGTGACAGCCATCATTGGATTTGTTATCCTCTTACGAAGTCATACCTACAAGAAATAATGAGGAACATATGCTCAAGGGACCAAAACATAGTGATTATTTATCCGTGTTCAATATAAGTAATACATATTTCTTGAAATGAGTACTCATTCAATATGAATAATAACTGAGTGAATTATGTGAATCAAGTGAGCATGCATTACGTCCAATATAAAAATTTTAATTTATTTTTAGTGCAAACATAAAAAAAAGATATCCTTACTGTCTTGTTTCACACATGAGTATGACTTGAATATAGTCGAAATATTTTATTTCTAAATCTCGTCGTCTTTGATCCAAAACTTGGATTTATAACGATGCTTTCCATACTCGGAACCGTTTTCATCTTATATGGGGAAAAAAATCGTTGAAAATGCATTTTTCATTTTCCAATGTGTAGAAAGGAATCCCATAAAAGAGTTTTTAAAAAAACGACTAATGACTGAATGGTGCAAAATTCTTCTTTGTGTTTTATGTTCCACTATAGCCATACCTTTTCAAATAAACCTAAATGCGGCAACCATCTCACGGAGATCCTTAATGGCATCCTGCAACGTTGCGTTTTCTGAATCCGACGACTTTGCTCGATTCGTTACTTGTGTTTTCCGCAAATATCGTCGAGTGCCACCCATTTTGAGTAGAAAACTATCCCTTTATTTTTGAAGCCTGTTGATGTCAAGACTTCGATGCGTTTTTCTTCATGATAAAACATAGCCCTCTCTATCATCTTCTGCATACCTTCATTACCCAAGGTTTCGCAGTGTGCCTGTAGTTGGCGCCAAAACACGGCAGTGTTCATCATTATAGTTGACAGAGACTTCAAAGCACCAATAGAATTGTGAAGAGCATCAATAGCTACTTCTTCTAGACGTCCATCGTGGAATTTTCCCCGTCTTTCCAGATCATTTCTGTGCTTTTCACGGGCACCTTTTGTTCGTTGTGTGTCCTCTAAAGCATTTATGACATTCGTTAATGTGTTTTCAAAACCCATTATCAATTGTTCTGCTTTCGTTGCTATAATTCTAGTGTCAATGGACAAAAGTTTCAAAGTTTCCATTGCCATTGTCTCCCTGCCATCAAGAAGAAACTGGAAAACGTTCTGAAGATTCTTCAAATCACTGCTTGTCATCTCTCTGATTTCTTGGACAATAACTGCTGATCTCTCTGTGAGTTTGGTGATCTCGTTCTTTACTCCTTGGACTCTATTAACTCTGGTGATATCAATAAAAGTCCCAATTTTACCAAGCTCATCTAAAAGGGTTTCCACGTCCACCGACTCAGTCTCAACTTGTGCCGGAATTTCAGCGAGGGAAAACGTTTCTTTGTCAATGGTCTCGGAGAAACTTAGTCCAAGATTCATTTTGGCATCAAGCTAAAAGTGAGTCACTTTTAGTCGTCTTAACCATAGTCTATTAACTATGTCTTAACGAAGCTGAAAATCAGTCATAATTGGGTCAATTAGTTACACCGCATCCGTTTGGTACCTCAAATAGCGCATACCTTTTATATGACGTTACCTCTATTAACATACGGAACATAAGCCGTTTCCAAGAAATGCGGCCGATCATTCCAATCGAGAACTGACTGATTTGTTGACATCGAATAAAAAGTACTAGTCTAAATGTGGTTGTATTTACTGCAGAATTTACTGGTTAGACATACATATGTATTGTTAGTGCACGTCTTTAGTTTAACGTTAATCCAAATATTGTATATTTATTTTCACAGCCATATTTATTCGATGAAGTATCTAGAAAGTTTTGTCAATCAAAATTTGAATTAAATTTGAATTTTAATGCAATTGTCTAAAACTATTGGCCTGCTCTCAACATTGACATTGAGCTATTGCTCAAAGATTATTATCAGGTGATAAAATAATTCATGATCTAATTTTTTTACCTTTCAAAACAGAAGCGTTTTAAAATTTTATTCGCTAAGTGAATTTATCTCCTTGCTTGCCTGGGTATCTTTTAAAGCAATCTCGTCTTGAGCTTCTTTCAACTCTTTCCCAAACGAAACAGCCAGTTGGCGTATGTTCCCCCGGGCCTCCTCGGTCGTCGGGTTTTCTTGGAGGTAACAATACAGGTCTTGACGGGTATTCTTGATTTGTTCCATGTATGTTCCACATACATCATCCAGTGCCACCCATTTTGAGTAGTAAATTATCGCTTTAGACTTGAAGCCTTGTGATGTCCAGACTTTGATGCGTTTTTCCTCGGGATACTTTATAGCTCTCTGTATCATATTCTGCGTATCTTCCTTAGCCAAGGACTCACAGTGTGCCTGCATTTGGCGCCAAAACAGGGCGGCGTGCATCATTATAGTTGACAGAGACTTCAAAGCACCAATAGAGTTGTGAAGAGCATCAATAGCTACTTCTTCCAAACCTTCGTCGCTCTTGCAGTTCTTGATTTTCTCAGTGAACTCGATGCATTGTTGAATGGCGTCCCTCCTAATGTCGTGTTGCTTTTGCAGGTCTTCATAATATTTTTTCTTTTCTGCGTTTGCATTTCGCATGGCCTCCTTGTAGGTGTCGTCATTGGCCATCTCCGCAGTCAATTTTCCCACAACAGGTCCCACAACGCTCGCTGGCCCAAGATTATTGTACGCTGCAGCTACATTTGCAGTGGCATTTAATGCTATAACAACGGTGTCCTTCAGCGCGTGGAGCAAACTGTCTTGCTTTTCAAAAGCCTTGTCTTCCCTTTTTTGCGCCTGTTCGTATAACGACTCTGCCTTTTTATTCGCTTCCATAGCATCTTTTTGAAGCTGTTCTGCCTTTTGCTTTTGTAACTCGAATTCTTCTCGTTGTCGTTGCAATTCTTTCTTGCGAATATCACGGAAACCTTTTGATCTTTGTGTGTCCTCTAAAGCATCGATGACATCGGTCGTTGCTACTTCAAATTTCTTTTGGAGTTCTTCTGCTGCTTTTGCCATCGCTTCGGCTAAGTTGGCTAACGCTGCGAGATTTTCCAACACCATTTCTTCCAGTCCATCGAGAAGAAAATGATAAGTACCTTGTAGCTCTTGCAAGACACTTCTGGCTGTCTGTTTGAAATTATGGACGGTGACAGCTGATTCGTCAGTCAGTTTGGTAATCTTGTATCCAACTCGTTGTACCTTGATCTGTAGCTCGGTATTGCCACTACTCCATTGTACGCGAGGCGAATGAAGCTACCTAGTTTACCAAGGTCAGCCACAAAACTTTCAAAGTCCAGCTCCCCAAGAAGACTTTTCTTCTCTTCTTTTACCAATTCAGTTCCAACTTGTGGGATTTCACCTAGTGAAAAGGTTTCATTACCAATGGTGACGGACGAATCTGGAAGACTGCTAAAAGCCATTTTGTCGTTCAGGATATACGTCCAATCGCTTTAGGAAGTGAAGACGCCAGAATAATTTGACCTGGACGATTTTTCTACAATTAATGCCCATTGGTCCTGGATCAGGGCACGACTGACGAAAACAATTCCTAGGAATCCTGCCTCAACAAATTATAAACATCAATCACAATGAGGAAAAGGTACTTAGCAAACACGACAAATTCTCAGAATGATTAACTTTTTGTAGCGGGGAATCAAAAAACATTGAATAGTTTATTTAAGAACCAGAAAGGTCAGAACGATCCAATCAGAATGATGCAATCTATGAACCAAAACTAAGATAGTCAATTTCATGATTAATCTTATATTCTAGACTAGTACGTATACCTTGCTAAGTACCATAGTCTCATCGTGCTAAATAATTGTAAACACGAAAGTTATAAAATAGCATGTCAAAATGTTTCCGAACATTATCGAAAGAACGGGTCCAATCCTTCGTCGAAATTATAAAAGCGGAAACTGAGCGTTTTCGAGTTTGACTTCGTAGCGCTCTCATTTGTCTTCCGCATGTCTCTTCATTTGCCAGAACTCAGTGTGCTTGCACTGCGCCCGCTCAGTGTAGCTGACAGACATTTCAAAACATCGACAGAGTTGTGAAGAGCATCGGTCAATAGAGCTGCTCCATCCAGAGGTCCATCATGTAAATCATTCTTCTCCTATTGTTGTGCATAATTTCTAGCGTCAGCCAGGACAAATCAGGAAGTTGGTCATAAAACGTCTATCCAAAAACTGAATCCGTCTCATCGTACACGTCTGATTCAATACCTGATCGCCCTTAACCTTGCCTCTAACCTTCGGGCAGCACCCAGACTAACAGGGAAGGCGAAGGACGAAAAAAGGCATGCACTCTTAACCCGCGCGCAATAGAAGACAAACTCTTTTGAATAACCAGAACTATAATTTTGGCAATTTCATCGCAAACTTTATTCTAGTAATACTGTTGCCTCTTCAAGGTCCTTGAGAAAGATTGTACTTTAGTACTTTATTACTGAAATTCACGCGTCTCAGTATAAATGTCAGATATTGGAAGCGGGACACCAACTTTGTTTAAGTTACATTGTCTCAGTTTCTAAGTTAAAATGAAAGGATGGCAACATCTTGAACTGTAGCGACCTGGATGGGGTCTGTCAGCCCTCGCAAAACCATGTAACTTCTGCGTGAAGAAACTCATAGAAACCCTTGAGATTCTAGAAACTCATTTTTCATAAGTTTAGATAAAGAGCAGAAAAGGCATCCTGGATCGCTCGTCCACAGCCTAAGTCTGCGTTGTAGCCACCGGCTCTTTCAGCGTCGGTAGTTGCGCGAATGTTTTTCAAATACCTATAAAAGAGGGAAAAAGAAAATAATTGATATACAACTACCATCAATCCCCGTAAATTATCTAGAGATTTTATTTTTTGCATTTAATAGCAAGACTCCCCGGTCAGGAGGGCATTTTATGAACACTCTCTTAGGTCATTATATCATCACGCACTTGCTACTGAGCATTCTCTCTGCATCTCCTTTCGATGCCACTTAGGTTGCTGACACACGGTGCAACGTTGCATGCAACAAATCTGAAGTTGAATCACGCTCTACTCTTGCAACATTGCGCGCAACAAATTTCATCATATGAACATAGCTGCAACATTACCTGAAACATTTTGAAATTTCCAGCCAATCAGTTTGCACCAAATTTATAACTTCTGACCAAATATCTTAACATAGCAGGCTGAAACAAGCGATGTTGTGGATTTTGTTGCAATGTGTGTCACCCCGATTCAAATTTGTTGCTTGCAATGTTGCACCGTGTGTAAGCACCTTCAACCTGCTTGAGTTCTTGACTTCAGAACAACTATCATCTCTCCCCACTGGAGCTAAGACTTTTCTTACAAGCATATACAGCATACCCTGAAATTCTGACTACTATCATATATTCCTATTTACCTTAAAACCGGTTTTACCGGTTTTAATGACATATACTAACCCCCTTGAAGCCAAGACTTCCTGTTTTGGAGCTTTTAATCCATCGTTTTCCTCATCAGGTTCGACATATTTAAACAATGGAACATTTATGAAAGGGACCGCATTCGCTTCATCTTTTGGCTGTAGATACTGAAAATGTAAAAATTTATTCCTCGAACGTTGAATAAATTCCCAAAACTTAAAGAGAATAAATCATCAATGCATTGTACTTAGACAGAATACACCAAATTGTAAAAAAACGTTGTCAGGTTGAAAAGGTTTCAATTGTTGAAGGTACAGTACCGCCTGAAATCATTGAGGCATAAGACGCGTCCGTCGCGCGTTCAGTGCACGCGGTAAAAACGCAAATAAGCCGCGTCCTGACCTAGAATTGACCGCGATTTAACCGCGGTTGCCGAAAAAACGCGTCCCATACAGTATCATACTGTACAAAGCGCTGTTTGGTTATACAG